ATGTGGATGGCGACTCATATGAAAAAATATTAAAGTCAGTCTCATAACTATATATATGTTTCAGTATTGGTCCCATTAAAATAAAAATACTTTTCTATTTTAAAATTATTGAAAGAAGAAATATCTCATTATTAGATTTTGTGGAATTTAGGGAAGATGGTGCGGTCACACATAAGCGCAAAATAAGAGAATGAACTTAGGTCCACTTCAATAATGTTTTATCTCAAAATGAATTGGTGGTGGAAGAAATAGCCCACTAAATTTATAAAATAGACTCATTTACCTTATGCAGTCAATGTATGACAACTTACGAATAATATTTCAATACGCTCACTCACTTGTGAGTCTTTCGTAAACATAAGCCCAGAGCAAACCAAGTTGAATAATCCCAAGCCTAGAGCTGGTTGGGTAGAGTAAGTCATCGGTCCTAGATCAGGCTGCTCTGATCAGGCCAAGTTGAGTAATACAATATGAGCTCGTTGGTTCCTTAAGTGGGCTAGTAGTGATAGTTGAGTTGGGACACAAATTAAGTTAGTCCACTTAATTGGGCTCAAGTTATTATGTTTTTATTTCAATTTGAGTATTACCTTTGTTAGGCCCGTTTAGACTTGAGCCTATTTTTCAGTCAGAGCATCCACAATGCTTTGGGTCTCTTAGAAAAAAAATTATATGTCATGTAGGAAATAGACTTAGTCTATAAAAAAATGTTTCACAATGCAATTAAAAGTGGACCTAATCTAACTTATGTGGCACTAGAAAAAAGAGACTAAGTCCACAATTGGGTCTATTTTGGACCCAAGTGCAAACCTACCTAGTCATTAATTGTTCACAATTTTCTTTTTCTTTTTAATAGGCAAAACACATTTTTTTTTGTTAAATGCATCTATTATTACTATATTTTTTTTGGTTGTTTAGTATTCTAGACCTATTACTTTTTTGTTTTGCATTGGATAGATTTTGAATTTTTTAGCATGAGTTTGTCCATGTCATTATGGACTTAAATCAATTTATTTGACACATATGCAAAAGGAGACCTAAAGCATTGTGGATGCTCTCAGTTAGGACTTAGGAGATGCTGTTTTTGGTAGGACCCACGTGAGCTTGTTAGACTTAGCGGGATTTTTATGAAAAATCATAACTTAACACACTACCCCCCTTCTCCGTCGGAGAGTCGCTGCTGCCGTCCTGCCTGCCAGACCGATGCGTGATTAGAGCCATTTTTTTTTGCCCCCTTGGAGGTCGACAAGAGACCCAGTCTGTGGCGGTCTCGCTGTTCCAATTCCACAGCCACGGAGGGGGCGCCACCGCCACTTTCGAGTTCCAGTCGCAGGGGTCTACCGGTCTGCGGGAGTCCTGCTCGTGCACTGTCTCTTTTCCACCTGATGGAAGTGTGTGAATGCCAGACTATGTTCAGAGTTGTCTTCAAGAAGGCCGCAACCCGCCCGTCCGCCGTGTGGCCGGGCTGCCGGTGCTCGAACGATTGCAGCCTTGGTGGTTCTTCCTGTGGTCTTGATTTTGAGCTCTCCGGTGTGTTCGTGGCAGCTCCTCATTTTTTCTCCAATGCTGAAGTCTTTCGGATCCCAAATCTGGAAAGAGAATGGCCTACTTGGCGGATCTGTCTAGAAGTTTCGTCCATAGTTTTGGGTCCGAGTTTTAAAGTTATGGTTTTGTTGTGCCTTTAGCTGCGGTGTAGGGTATCGAGGGCCAACTAGGTCGTTTGGCTCGCTTGCTAGGATAAAGGGAGGTTTTATTTTTAATTGTTTATTAGGTGTGTGTATTTTGCTTTTGTGTTTTCTTTCGGCTTCTTCTGACGTCTGGTCTCCGTCATGAAGGTTGTGTCTCCTTTTTAGAGTTCGTTTGGCGGTTGATTTGTTTTGGCTTCTTTGATGGAGTTTCTACCCCTTAGGCCTGTGGCGATTCAAGGTTGTGAGTCCAGACTTTGTTCTGGTTCCTCTTGTGTCAATTGACACTTCAATAGTACTTTTTTGAGTTTAAAATTATAATATATTTGACGTTTCAGAAAAAAAAATGTGGAAAATTGATGTATATATATAAATTAATACATAAAGAAATATGAATTAAAGCTTATTCTTATTATTTTATTTAAAATACAAGAGTATTTCCAAAATTATGGGGAAACACAATTCCTTGCCTTTTGAATTTCGCCACTCTTTCTAGTTCAAAATCACTTTTGTCTTCAACTACCAAACCTAAGATATTGGTGATAATTTACAAATCACATTGTTTTGATCTCGAAAACAAAGACCCAGTTTCAGTTTATTAGTAATAAGAGAGCTCGGATCGAATCGGTATATCATATGCAAAGCACAAAAATGGCAACTTTAAGGAGCCATTAGAGTACTGCTGTCCATAGCACATTTTAGTTCCAGTCATAACGTTTAACTAAAGTACTGTTGTCCGAGGGGTCATTAGAGTTACAATACCATATCCCCGTACTCCCAGCCAACCAAAAATGCAGAATTTTGGAGTCTTTGAATTTTTCCGAACGAAAAGCATCAAAGGCCACTTGTTTCGAACCCCACCACAGATGACAAAAGAATAAAGTATGGCCAAATAAACGCTCGCAAAACGACCATTTGAATTCTTGATTAACAGTAAGCGTGTGGTATCCAAGATCGTCGTCTTTGGACTGACAACGAACTATCAACGGCTCGGAACCTGAAGGGAGATTGTTAATGACACGAACCGTGATTTTGTAAGTGATAAAACAAGCTCGTGCTGAAGTTTGAAAGGTATTGAGGGCAATGACAAGTAACAAGAGCACGATTTTGACCATTGTGCCTGCGAAAATAGTTGTTAGTGTATTAAGTATTGTGTCATGGCTTCTTGGAGGCTTTTTATTTTATACTATTTTTCAAAGTGGTAGGTGTAATTTGTAACGAGATTTTGTGTGATTTTAGGGATTTGATTATATGATATAATTATGAACAATTCTAATCATCGTGGTAATTAAAACATGGATGACTAAATCCGTACATTTATTAGCATAATAATTGACCTATGTAAAAGACATGTAACAATTACGAACAATCTGAAATAGAATTTGGATAAATTTAATTTTATAAGGTACGAATAATCCAATAATGTTTTAGTCGTGGTCTTACATGTGTGCGTCATAAAAGATGGAAATCGAAATATTTACAATGCCACCGGCCCTTTGACCAAAACCGCACCGTATATGACATTCAACTGTTGTGATTCATTCTTATTTCTTTAACTATTAACATTTTTCATATGATCCCACTTCATTTTGATATATATTTTTAAAGTTAAGTGTGCATCAAGTAATTATACAATATCATTGCCATAACATTATTAATGTAATATTTGTAGCCTATAAGTAACATATCAATTGTTCACACATAAGATTCTCTTAAACCAACAACTTAAACATCATGTTTAGAACCGCGAATATTATTCAACTCTCGTTATTTCTGCTCCTCTCTACCAATCTTTTTCGTGCTGGGCAGAGCTGTTTCTGGACTTACACAGTGCACGTTAATCTCGTTAATAATCTTCCGGTGGAATCTAAGCCATTGTACGTGTATTGCGCGTCCAAAGACGACGATCTTGGACATCACACATTGGTACATGGTGAGAGTTGGGGCTTCAAGTTCTGTGTGAACCCTTTTGCCACCTTATTTTATTGCAACCTTAATTGGGGTGATTTGTACATGTCTTTTCATGCTTTTGATGCCAAATGGCATTTGATGTATTACGATCCTTGTGGTGGCAAAGATTGCACATGGGATGTAACTAGTGATGGTGCTGGTTTACCACAAGGTGAATTTCATTTTTGGGAAGGTAATTATCACTGATCATACTAAATATATAGTAAAGAAATTAAATTGATCTACTATATATAAGTATTATTTCAAAACAATATGATATGCAATGTCACAAAAATGTATTTCATGGAGTCAGAGAGAAAAAAATTTAAAATAGGGCTAAATTTATATTGAAGGTAAGTTGTGACATGTGTGTTATTTTTTTGTTTGAGAATTTCAATAAAATGACTTGAAAAAAAAAAAAAACCATAAAAATTGAATTCACTCTCACCCCTACTCTTTCACTCAACCGAGGACAAGTTTCTTGATAGCCCATGTCAAGATAATTCAAAATAATTCAAACTTAAGGGTCCCATCTTTTTCTACACAAGCTGTTATTTGTCTTATTATCTGAGGTGTAAGCTTAGTCACCTTAGGTTTACTTTAGACTAGTATTATATATTTGGAGTTCTTGTATTCTTGGGATGTGCAATATCCCAGCCGCCACATTCCTGCTGCAAGATATGAACATTTCTCAAAGCCTTGCGTTTGTGATTTTTATGTCGATTTCTTTGGATGCCAACATGGTATCAGAGCGGGGATGATTTGGCTTTTGTCATCTCTATCTGAAAGCATCTTAGTTTCGATTGTTGGCTTGGAGACATCTTATGAGATCTGGCAAAATCTTCAGTCCACCTTTTCCAGCCACACCACAGCAAGGAAGATGCAATTTAAAATCCAACTTCAAAATCTGAAAAAGGGAAGCATGAATATGAGAGAATATCTCAACAAAGTTAAAGGATATTGTGATGCTATTGCTAGTACTGGAGAAAGGATGAAAGAAATGGATCAAATCATGTACATCTTAGGTGGACTTGGCAATGAATATGATGTTGTTGTAGTAACTATCACAGCAAGAACTGAAGGATTTAGTCTTAAAGATGTGATATCTCTGTTACTGAGCTATGAAAGTAGACTCGAGAGTAATGCTCAAGCCATCACAGACACTTTCATTCCTAATGCCAACATTGCTACTGGCCGAGGCAGAGGAATCACCCAAAATCAGTCCCAGAGAGGCAGAGGCCATCCATCCTTCAGAGGAAGAAACAATTATCGAGGTCGAGGTGGACGGAACAACAACTATAGAATGCAATGTCAGATTTGTGGTTATAACAAATCACACTGCTGATAGATGTTATCACAGGTTCAATTCTGAGTTTGTACCAAGACAACCAATGACAAATTCAAGTGGAAATCAGGAACCATATGGGAGGTTTTACAACCAAAGTTCAGCCTTACTCACCACAAGTGACCAAACTTCTGAAATTAATTGGCTTCCTGGCACCGGTGCAACTCACCATGTTACCAACGATATATCGAATCTAATGCAAGTGTAAGCGTCCGGGTCCGGTTTGAAGTAGATCGGTTCTTGTCCTTGCCGGTAGAACGCCGAGAACCTGCAAATAACTCTCACACCGGGGGTTGGGTCCGGTGAAGAGCCTCCGATGCTTAAGTCAGTATGTGTAT